ATTTAAGACGGGGAGCAGTACCTGCTGATAACGCTGGCCATGCACACAGAACCAGGGCCCGTGGGAAGCTCGCGGAGGTCGGCAGGCCTTCCTCACGGAGCTGGAGCGGACAGAAGGAGCCGGAATCCCCGCCTATGCGATCCCAGTGGGGCAGGTGGGAGGGGCCATGGAGACCCCTGTCACTTGATGACTGTCTCTTTGGCTGGCTGGGGACGGAACCCCAGGGCTTCAAGTGTGACACGCAGGTGCTCTAGCACGGCACGGCACTGTCAGCTCCTTGACAGACGGGGCTTCGTCTCCCTCGCCCCCTCAGAGAAACTCACTTTGGCACTGTTGGCCAATTACTTCGATCTTCTTGGAAGATTTATTGTTGTTTGTAATATTGTTTTTAATGAATTTCTACTAGCACCAATTACCTATCATGAACATGGTGTTAAAGAATAACATCAGCTGGGCACTGGTGGCTCACACCTGTAATCCTACCTACTCAGGAGGCTGAGATCTGAGGATCATGGTTCAAAGCCCAGGTGGAAAATCCATGAGACACTTACATCCAATAAACCACCAGAAAACTGGAAATGGCGCTGTGGCTCAAGTGATAGAGTATTCACCTTGAGCTGAAGAGCTGAGGGACAGCGCCCAGGCCCAGAGATCAAGCTTCACAACCGACTAAATAAATACATAAATAGATAAAATAAAACCATAGCTGTCTAAAGCTCTTGGTTGAGTTTGTATTGCTTAAACAACAGGAATTTGTCCTCTCCGTTCTGGAAGCCAGAGGCTGATTTGAAGATGGCGGTACAGCGTCCCCGCAGAGTGGAGGGTGCTTCCTTGCCGCTGTGTTTCCGGCGGCCATGCAGACGTGCCGTGGAGACACGGTTCCCATCTGTGCAGCGCTCTCTCTGTGTGTGAAGACAAGACACAGGCAGATCTGGTGCTCTGCCTTCACAAGCTGGCCGCCCACAGTCCTGCTTCGGATCGCACCGCGGGCCTGGCTTCCGAAACTCAGTGCTCGGTCTGAGGAGCCTCCACCTGTCACACACAGCCCCGCTCAGCCTTTGCTGCTCTTTTGTATTGTTTTCCATGAAAACAGCACAAGTTATCCACTCCTTCCAAGAACCTTGGCTTGTTTCCAGGTGCCGGGGACCCTGGGCCTGGCGCATGCGAGGCAAGTGCCCGCCTCTGAGCTCCATCCGTGACCCTCCCGATGCATTTCTTCATAATATTACTAATTATCATTATGAATTACCAAGACTAATTATGACTATTGTCAATATCACTGCACAAAGAAACACATTCCTGCTCAGCTTGTCCAAGAGAGGCTCCAGAGTCATGAAGTCTTCAGTGCGGCTGTCTGCCAGGGAAGAGGACAGAAGGACACACATCGAGGACAGAAGGATTCACACACATCCTCTTCCTCCACGGAGCTGTGGCAGGAGTCTGGTTCCAAGCAGACCACCGGTCAGACTCTTGTGTGTGTGTGTGTGTGTCTGTCTGTCTGTCTGTCTGTCTGTCTCAAATCTGTTGAGTCTAAAAGAAGAAAACTCACTGGCTGAACTCACATATTAACATCTAAGTACTGAGTCATGTATTACAGTGCCAAACATTAAAAGATACTGGTGGCTCATTTTTTTTTGTCAGTCATGGGGCTTGAACTCTGGGCCTGGGCGCTGTCCCTCAGCTCTTCAGCTCAAGGCAAGCGCTCTACCGCTTGAGCCACAGCACCACTTCCAGTTCTATAGTGGTTTATTGGAGATAAGAGTCTCATGGCCTTTCTTGCCCAGGCTGGCTTTGAACCTCGATCCTCAGATCTCAGCCTCCTGAGTAGCTAGGATGACAGGGGTGAGCCACTGGCACCCAGCATGGTGGCTCATTCTTAAGAACCTAGCTACTCTGGAGGCTGAGAGATGAGATTTGTTCAAAACCAGCCTGGGCAGAAAAGTCCTTGAGACTTTCCTGTCCAATATTTTTTGGGGTGGAGGTTGGTCTTGAGGCTTGAACTCTGGGCCTGGGTGCTGTCCCTTAGCTCTTCTACTACTTGAGCCACAGCACCACTTCTGGTTTTCTGGTGGTTAGTTGTAGAAAAGAGTCTATGGATTTTCCTGCCCAGCCTGACTTTGAACCGTAATCCTCAGATCTCAGCCTCCTGAGTAGCTAGGATTATAGGCGTGAGCCACTGGCAGTCATATCTAGTTAACAACCAAACAACCAGAGGTGGAGCTGTGGCTCAAATGGTAAAGTGTCAGCATTGAGCAAAAAAGCTAAAGGACAGCACCCAGCTACTCAGTTCAAGCCCCAGTACCAGCACAAAATAAAATATGAACATAAAGCCCGTGTAGCTTATCTTTCAGTTACTGGTGATACATTGACAGCGTGTTGTTTTCCTTAAGGTTATTTCATAAGAGCTGGACACTAGGTCCAGCCTAGGAAAGGTTGCCCTGCATTGGGACTTTGACCACAGCTAAGGCTGTGGGCTCCAGCCCCCCCCCCCCCGCCGGCAGGGCCCCGAGGGCTGCCTCTGTCCTGTGTGATGTCACCGGCTTTGTGAGGCAGTCCCAGGCTGCATGTGGAGCACCGCGATGAAGGCAGTGCCAGCAGAAAGTCTCCATCTTCCAGTCATTCACGCAGACCCTGGCTGCTTTCCTTCAAAGCTCATCACCTTCAAAGCGGTCAGTGTGCCTACGCCAGTAGTAAGTGGAATGAGGCGGAGGGGATGGACCGGGTGGGCCAAGGAGGAGCAGGAGTCCTTGCGCCTCAATTCAGACCCCAAACCTGCAATGGGATGTGGTCCCCAGGGATTCGGATCAAGATCTACTTGACTTTTCAAGAGGGAGAGTGGCCCCGGGCTGCGTACTATCGCGGCTTCTCATTGGACGCCCCACTGTGTTCTACAGCACGGAAACATGTTACTTATTCCAAAGACACAACAGGTCCTGTCCGCTGACCAGGGTTAAGTTGTTTCAGAACCAGCATCAGTGATTCACACCTCTAATCCTAGCTACTCAAGAGCTTGGGATCTGAGGATCCCATTCTGAAGCTGGCCTGGGCCGCAAGGTCCTTGAGACTCATATCTCCAACTAACCAGCAAAACACAGGATCAGAGGCATGGCTCAAATAGTAGAGCACCAGCCTTCAGCAAGAAAAACAAAGTAAGAGTGTGAGGCCCTGGGCTTAAACCTCAGTATCATGACAACCAATAATGATGATGATGATGATCCATCAATTCCTAACACGTGAATTCAACATAGTTTAGTGAAGAACATTACTCAACAAGATTCCCTACCTCAGGATCCAGAGTGGAAAAGCCACCGTGGGCCTCTTGGTTCTCTTGGGACGCAGAGGCTTTACCACCAAGTGGGGAGCCGGGCAGGGCAGGGCAGGGCAGGGGAGGGGAGGGGAGGGCAGGGCAGGGCAGGGCAGGGCAGGGCAGGG